ATTTTTTTTTTTTTTTTTTTTTGTATAAAAGACTTAATAGAGTGGTTATCCGTTATGGAAATCTTAGATCATTTAAACCGTTTTTAAGACGGAGATAATTGTTGTCTTTCTCTCAGCAAAAGCGACGTTAAAACATTTTCTTGCATACAAGACTTAATAGAGTGATGGTTGGCTCGAAGTAAACTAGATTGTATTGTTTACGAGCCCATCGTCCCGTTTAGAGTTATGTGATACGGCTATCATTAAGTCTTTCTGCAAAATGAAATGTTGGTAGTTTGCATTGTCGGCGCTGTGATTTCGGATAAAACCGAACCATCATTGTCTTATCTGAAAACAAAACATTCTAACTTTATGCAAGCTTTTAAAAGATATGTATAGACCTCAAAACCGCAGGTACAGGACCTTTGTCGGCGTGGTCATTTTGGGGAAAGACAAACCATCATTGTCTTATCTGTAAACAAAGCATGCAAAAGTGATTTGACTTCCAAAGGGGTGTGTATTCTGGTTTTGGATTGGTGTTCAGGTCACAAAGTGACTTTTCTTTTAAAACGATGTTATGGGATAATATTTGTTAGTTAGCTCTCATAGAAGATGGTATATTTTGTAACAATATAACACAATAAAGGGCAAGTACCCTCCATAGACAATTTGACACTTCACTTTGCGGAAAACAGTTAGGGTGAAAACTGTTTGGTCTGTTTGGTTGTCTTATTGCTGTTTTTGGTTGTTTGGTTGCATTATTATTTGGAGAGGAGAGCAGAATATTTTCAATTTTGGGGGGCGTGAACTAGAAGGAGTGAGATAAGGGGAGCAAAATAGCAGTCTTTCTTTGGATGAGTATAAGATTTCTCAAATGTGTATGTATACATGTGTGAACGTGTGATTGTGTGAGAGAACGGGAACTTTAGAGGTCTTTTCTGCATGTTCAAACGAAATTCGTACATTCCTCTTCCGTTCTGACCAAAGCTCTATGTATCCTGACTGTTGCCAATGGCGTTGAAATCACGATAGGAGCTCTTTTGGGAGGCAGTTTGTTGACAGTTTGTTTGTCCTATGGCAGATATGAGTGGTTTTGAAAGTTCAATTTGTAAATTACATTTTGTGTTTATCGTATCCGTTTTCGTATTTGTCTTTTTCTTCATTTTCTATGTACTTTAGCCACGGTCACATGTATATATCAAAATATCTTATCCAGTTCTTCACACTAAATGTGGCAAGCTGCTAGACTGATAAAACGTTTGTTTCTCTTTAATTCTGGTTTGTACATGTATGCACTGGTCTATGAAGTAATAAAAGTGATAACTCCCCTTCATAGTGGTATATTTTTATTGTCTATTTTCAAACATAACATGCTTTTTATGAAATTGTGCAAGATGTCGAGGACTAAAATTAACAACAACAATTGCGCACCGAGTACATTACAGAGCACACTGATTGTAGAATTGTACTACAAACAATTTCAAGCATATGATACCGCCAGATAATATACGGTTAATTGTATATAGTGAAACTTTTTCATTCTTTCTTGAGACATTTTACTCGTCTATACTTATGAAGCATAGTACAGGGAGAGGTTTCGTTAGTCAGGCCCTGATGCCTTACTTGGGTGGTCCACCTGGCCCATTTTCAAGTACACACTGACCAATGATTTTAGGACAAGTACGTTCCCGATTTCCCCAACGCCCCTTAAAGTTAAGGAATCTAAACTCCCCTGTAAACTGTCCTTTGGCGGCCATCTTGACAACTTTGAGATTATTTGCAATGTGCCATGCTGTTCCTGCGCTACAGAGATCTTTTAACTTGACTCCGTTGAAAAGCTTCTTGTACACGTGGTCCCCTGTGTTTGGCCAGAAACCATGGGACCCCTTGGCTGCGTAGACTTGGGCGTGTGTGCAGTCAGTCGTATAAACGGCCCGATCCCCTTTCTTGAAGAAGTTACCATTCCACAGAAACTCTCCACCATATTTTTTAGTGATCTCAGAATCGTGGATCGACAAATAAATGGAGTAGATTTTGTTATTATAGAACTTTATCTTCACGTGTTCCCAATCTCCAACGTGATTTCCAAAGGTGGAGTACCCTCCTGCACAGCCGTTAAGTCGAGGACATACGCAATGGCCCCACGCCTTGAAGCACGGGCATACATTATCAAAATATAACCCCACACACGCCCGTTTTCCTCTGTTGTATGGAAAGAAAAACCAATAGGTGATTTCAACAACGCTACCCTTGTCCTCGTATATAGCGTATGCTGGGGCGCTGGCAGGATTTTGACCTTTAAAGACGGCAGGTTCTCGACAAGAGGCACAAGATAACGGCGTTTTAGTTTCCA